CATCATTACGCCGTAACAACGTCATTTCAACCAATTAACACGAAATTTAGTCAAACACTCGGGAAAAAAAATTTAGCTGACAAAATGACTACGCATCACTGTTGAGGTTATCTGGGAGCAACATAAAATTAAAACACAAACGAGTAAAAACCCTAACAACTTTGGCTTAATACAATCATGAAAGAAAGAAGGAAAAAACGAATGCATATACAGAGCACAAAGAGAAGACATACGAATAACCACATATATAAAATCTCACATTCAATTATTGTAATCAAAAGACCTGCAATCAATTTAAACAAGATAATAATTAATTCAGCGACATTTGCACGGAGTGCTAGTCAGATCACTAAAGAGTTACTGACTACTACGAGGGACAACGAGGCCAAGTTTCTTCGCTTCGCTCTCATAGATAAGAAGCCTCCACATTTTCACAACAAACACCTCAGCGTCCTCATCGAGTATCTGAACATAAAGCTATAGGGTCTCTATTGGACATTGTTTATGCAAAAACTAAGAGCTCGATGTTAAAAAGAAATATACCAATTTGAGATAAAAAGGTTTACTTATATACAGGGAAACAAATAAAATTTGGCAAGGCTTATATGAAAAGAATGTTCAGTTAATTTATATCAATTTTGACTGCAGAACAAGAACTTAAAGAAGTTTATGTGAACTCACCATTGCTATATCACTAAGGATTCGATCTGGCGGCGTCTTCGTCGCGACCTTTTCACAAACAAAGTCAACAAGAGCACTTTCTTCCTCTCCTAAAAATACAAGTTGTTCGCCTTATCAAAAAGCGAGACAATATTACAAAGAGCATATACTAGCCTAAAAATTCTAAAATCTTCTTTGCAACCCATGGTCGAACTCGTTGTTCAATGAGAGATCGATCAACAAATCGCCAGTCTATTGTATGTGCGAAAAGCTCATCTGAATATTTCAATAGATCACTCTAAAATTGCGATAGAAAGCAACAAATTTTGAAAGTCTACCTTTAGTGGTAGGAATGTTGTTAATGAGATCTTTCACCATCCGTTTCTTCTCATCTGTTGTCAGCGTTTCCATCCGTTCTTCTTGGGTTATTTCAAAAGGACGCATATGTTTGCGGCCACTTTCTTCTTCCTCATCATCAACTCCTAAGAACGCAGATTTTATGACAAAATATCAGATAAAAAATTTGGAAAATTTAAAAACTTGCCAAAAACTCCGTTTAATTTGGAGTTAAGTTCGGGACGTGGTAAGGTTTGTAGCGAAGTGCTGGATGTCGCTCCTTTCATGGTTATTGTTGGTGACGATATGCTAAGTGGGGTCGATTGGGACGTAACGTCTACTGAAAAAATTCATGAAATAGCAAAGACAGAAATGCTTTCAGAGAAACAGCATCTAACTTTTAAACTGAAGATTAACGTCCTGCAGCAGTTACTTATAATTTGGGAAACACTCACCGCTTTTCCATCGATCCTCGTGACTTGTAGTGGCAGCAGGAACATCACTCTTTGGCGTTTTCGTGTCCACATCATCCCGATCATCATCACCAATCGATTTGCCATCAATATCAGATTTTCCATCTTCTTCATCTTCTTCACTTTCCTCGCTACTACTCGAACTATCGCCATCACCATCTCGCTGTCCGAGTGGCTGATG